TTTACATCAAGATCAAATGCGTTAAAAATTTCGGCCAATTCTGTTTATGGTGAAACTGGTTATCTCTTCTCTCCATTCTATCGAAAGACGATTGCTTCATCTGTCACTGCGTTTTCACGTGAAACGATTAAAAAAGTAATCACTTTCTTGGAATCAAAACAATGCAATATTATATATGGTGATACCGATTCGGTTTTCTTTACGATTCCAGAAACTCATTTCTCTGAAATCGATTCTCTCTATTCTTATGATAAACAACTCCACTACTCAGAATCTATAAAAAAATCCATAGAATTCACAAAACAGATCACACCTGCAGTTAACTCTTTTATGGAGCAGGAAACGGGGTTTCCGTTTATGAAAATGGCATATGAAAAAGTCCTTCATCCTTCTCTTTTTCTCTATAAAAAACAATATGGTGGCATAGTTCATGAAAATGCTCCTAATTTTACGAATCCAAAACTCTTAATAAAAGGTTTAAAAATCGTAAAGCGCAATGTATCTCTATTCTATAAGACGGTTGCCACAGATCTTATTTGGTCTTGTTTAGGGTTTAATGAACAAAAACAATTATCAGATTCGGAATTAAAATCGCCAAAAGAAATAGCTCGAGACGTAATTTCTAAATACACCTCCGCACCCATGTTAAATCTAGATCTATTCAAATTAACGGCAAAATATGATCCAACCCATAGGAAAAAAACAGTTACTCTTCGTGAATTCATTAATGAGCATCGATCAAAAAAACAAACTTCAGACGATATAACATCCGAGAAAAAATCCAAAAAAGGAAATACCATGGTTTTTAATTTTGCTGAACGATATGAAAAAACCGGCAAAAAAATGGTTCCTGGACGCTTCGAATACTACATTTTGTATCATATGCAAAAAAAAATAGATATTTCCCAGAAAATGTGTTTGACGAAAGAATATACTTCAGATAAAGTAATAGATATCATGTACTATTTTAACAGTCTTGCTGATATCTGCGCATCACTTCTTTCATGTGATACTAAACAAGCTTTAGAAACGATTAAAGAAATCTACGACGCTGATAAAAATAATAAACAACTTCTGGTAACAAATTATTTCTCTTCGCCTCTATCAGAAAATAAAAAACATACATTAGACCTCCCATCTTCTTCTATCTCTCATAAACGACAGAAAAAAATAACCGAATATTTTATTCAAAATTAGCTATTTGTATATAAATATATTTAATCTATAATAAATTTTATAACAATTTTATTTAGTACGTTTAGTATTGAATAAAAAATATTTTGTTCAAACATGAATTCCTCATCATTATCGTTATTAATATTCTCAAATGAGATTTTATTTTTGATCTTTAAAACCTTAAGAAATGAAATAGATCAATTTCATCTGGGTCTATCCTGTAAAAAATTACGTACTATCTATACTCACCAGGAGTTTGATCACATGAATTATCAATTTTTGTTCACCAATCCAACACACCCTTATATTTTTCAAAATGGGCATCACACGATTAACAGAGAATTTATCAAATTTGAAAAATTTTACGCACAAAGAAATGCAAATATGTTTTATTTGACAAAATGTATAACAGATGTGAAAATTGTAAGGCTCTAAAGATCGACTGTGACAGCAAATTGGAATGTACGAGTTGTAAAATAAAAAATATAAAATGTGTTAAAACCGGTTTTAAAAAAGTATTATATAGATCAACAACCGGTA